CACTCTGTAACTTTGGTCATGTGCCATTATTTTGTGCCGTTTTGGCTCTACATATAAAACAACCATGAATTATGTGAATGAGAGAGGCCCAAAATAAAGAGGAATGTTGAAGTTACCAGCTGCGCAGATAAACACCTGTCCCAGGTAGCCCAGGCGCATGATATGCGCTACGATACTATGATAAGATACATAATCCTGGCGTTTCTCTCAAGCTATGTATCTGGCAACTTTTCATAACCAATGCTGCATTGCGGTCATCTCCTGCTGGCGACTCTAGTTTTGTTTGCGTGTTTTGTTTCAGCTGCAGATTTAATTTACACGCAACATAAATGTAAAACAGCTCTTAATCCAATGTACAGTTTTCCATCTATTTTTCGAATTACGTAGTTACTTGGACAAATCGCCTGGTATTAAAATACCAGCGTATAATATATATATATATATATATATATATATGCATATTTGTCTGAAAAACATACCTTGCTGTGCAAATTGCAGTTGCTGTTGTTGTGCGCCAAAGAGCAGTGGATGCTGAGGGTGAGGAGCATAGAAAGGTGGTGAAGGTGTAAGAAGATAGCCAGCACCAAGCGGCTGCAAAGTTGTCCTCCCTATCTACAAAAACACGATGTTTTTGAACCCGATAAAGCTAACAGGAATAGGCGATTTAAAACATAAAAACATCTTTTGGTGTGGCGACAAAATCAACAAAGCTGAAAACAAGAAGCTTTGAGAATAATCCGTCTTATAGAAAAATACGATTTTTATCTACACTTGGCTGTGAATGAATTAAACGAACAAGTAAACAGTAACTGAGATAAAGAAAGATTGAATCTGGTAAAAAAATTTGCATACCCTGGCTTGGTCGTAATCTTCACGCAAGTAGGTCTGATCCTGTGGAGTACGGAATTCATGTTGTTGTTGCTGAATTAGTTGGCCATTTTGCAGTGCCGCTGCTCGTGCCTAAAGTAAAAGAGGATGAAAACTTTTTGAAATCGTGCCCGATCCATTTCGTTGTCAAATTCATCCTCAAATTCATCATTACAGATATCTTTAAACATCCCTTATCTCAATTTATAGCAGATAGAGAATAAATTTCATCCAACACAGTAAACCGTGACGTGTAAAAGCAAAAAAGGTGTAAAAGCAAACTTGCGCTGGTTGATTGTACAGGCTATTCTGATTGTAGGCAAATGGAACTGCTGTGACAGCAGATTGAGCATACGGCGCTGTTCGTGCCTAAAATTGCAAATCATAGTCAATGGGAGATATAAGGACAGAATCAGGGAAAAAAGCGTTTTTGTGATTTTGATTAGCGACGTAAAATCTTTAGGCTTCAAATATGGCTGAATACCATATTTCAGGATTTCAGTATAATGCGGCTTCAAATGTAGCTAGGTACTATATTTCAGGGCTTCAGAACTTTCAATATGTGCCTACCAAACAAATGAGCAATAACCGCAGTTGACTGTGTACGTATAAACGGCTTAAAAAGATGCCTAAATTTGTTAAGAAGCATGAAACTCAGCGGCCGTGAAATGTACAAAAAAGTGACATGGCTAATCGGCTACACCACTGATAAACTGATGGTAAATTAGCGGCCGTTTCTCAACTACCAAACGTCAAATAAATAAATGTGCACATGTTCGGCTTCCCAGAAATGGTCGTAGTCCTCTACTTCCCGAAGATATGCCGCATCCTGGGGATTTCGAGAAGCAAATTGCTGCTGATTTTGTCGCTCATTCTGATTGTAATACTGCGCCAGTGGAACGAATTGTGCGACAGCAGGCGTTGATGTCACCCATTGTCGTGGCCTTACTGTCCTGGTCTAAAATTTCGCATTTAAGCCAGTTGCTTGTCATTATCCTTACAAAGGTCTGAAGATTAATCCGTCTTTAGTGCCCCAATCCTAAACGATGCCCTTATTCTGAATCAATCATTTGAAAGTACGGCAAAATTTTTCCCGTGCTGCTCCTTTTAACAGTTGCCGGCTTTTCACTGATTTTCCGCGACAATCCCCCACACAGATGTCGCGGCCCAAAAG